CAAAAAAAAGGGGGTGCCAAACACGTTAGAATTTAATTTTCCTTTTTTTATTTTTTACTCTTATACTATATTCGAGTAGATAAGGTCGAGTAACTTTGTATACATAAATTGTATACATATAATAGTGGACTTTTATGAAAAATTTGTAAATTATAAAATAAAAGGAGAGATCGTTATCCTTTTGAATTGGGATATTTTAACCATGTGCATGACTCATGCCAGAAGTTTTTTGAAAAAAAAAACAAAAAAAAATTCTTTTAGAATAAGAACACAGGGAAAAAATGTGATTTTTACATTATACAAAATGTCGCATATGAATGAAATATAAATCCATAGAAATGTGTATGAATATGTGACTGTCTGTCTGGATTGTAAGCGCATACACATATATATATATATATATATGGTTAAGTAAATATTAAAGTACTTGCAAAATAATGAATAAGAAAAATTTAATACAAAAATTTAAAAAAAAATTTGGGTACTTAAAAGATTAGGTACTATGGTTTTTAAGTGAAATTTAAAAAATTATTATTAAAATTGGGTTTAGAACTAAAAAATAAAATCGTGGCATATGTAACCGACTTTTTTTTCACTCATCAAATATGTGTTTTAAAATGACCTTCTCGTATTTTTAAAAATCTGTACCATTTAAATTGCATAGTCATAATTTTTATAATAATAAAAATTTTGCTAGTTATAACTCTCTATTCAATTCTCAAAATATTTTATAAACTCACTAAAGGCTAAGTTAAATGAGCGCCTACTAATATCTAACTTGAACAGAATTATATACATATATAGGTGTTTGCTTTAAATTGTGGTTTCATTGTTTTGTATATATTGAAATTTACAATTTGAAAACTTGCAAAATCTCAATTTTCATGTCAATTGCTTAGTTCTATTTGAATAAGCTAAAATACAGAATTCTGCACTAAAAACATAATAAATAAATGATTATTATAGTTTTTCAGTGTTTTCAATAAATATACATAAATATGTATAGATTTCATCAGATTTAATAATTTAAAATATAGTTAACATTAACCAATAAATTTTTGATACTAACTACAAAAACAAATCAAATCAAAATAAACTTTAAAATTCGAATGAACTCACTAGAAATTTTTTTGAATTTCATTTAACTGACAAAGATTATATGGTTGGGCTACGTACATATGTACGTCTAATATAGTATACATTTATATCTACATTTTTTTTTTACAGTCATGCCTGAATATTTTGTCTGAGTGTTATGCTTCACAGAATATTAAACTAAACACGAATGTATGCAAAGAATAGTTACGAATGAATGAAGAGAATAAAAAGCAAATGGTTTCACTTTTCAATTTTATTTCTACGTCCCAAAACTACATAGGTATGTACATATGTTCACCTACATATATAGCTACGTAATAAAACTACAATAATTTATAAATTTCAGAATAAAATTAAAGAAAGACACAAGTAAAGAATTTTTTTTTAAATAAAATTGAAATTTTCAATTTAAATTGCAATTTATAAAATAGAAAATTAAAATTCATCACACATTCAATCCCATACGAAATTATAATTTATCTACCTACAATCTAGTTAAATTCAAAGATATTGCAAATACTTAATATTGCTCTCCATTTTATAATTTAATAATTATGCATTTCTTTAGTTTTGTTTTATGTTTATTGAATTTTGTTTATTGTTAAATGACATTAAAAACCGTTTCATTCATTTTCATATTATACAAAAAATTCATTGCTCACAACAGTAAAACTCCGATAATATGAATGAGTTATAAATGAAATCAAAGTAAATCGTTTGATTTCATGAGTATAGTCGAAAATATAAAGGCAATTTTAATGTAAAGCTAAATAATAAATTTTAAGTATCAGTGGAAAATGTAATGAAATTTTATATTATGAATGCATACTTATAAATTGTAATTTCTAAAATATAACACTGATTTATTGCCAAATAACTACTCGTATGTTACACGAAATACTGCTAATATTTTGCTATACAATCAACAGAAATTTTAATTTTGATCATAATTTGTTAGACAAATAATTAAAACTCAAGTAGTTATTCCGATAAAAAAAATTTGTGATGTTGTGTCAAAAAAATTTAATAAATTCAATTTATAGTCAACCGAGAATTTCTCTTTTATTGTCAAAAATTTTCATTTGAATTTAGTATACCGATAAGTTTGTTGTTTAACATCGAATGAAGAAGAAAAACTACGCATATTTGAAAGAAAAATTCTGCGAAAAATTTATGGACCGAAAGAACTATATTATTAAAAGTAGTCGTCAGTTAAATGAAATAATAAACAATGCTGATATTGTCAGGTTCATTAAATCGCAAAGATTAAAGTAACTGCAACACGTATTGCGAATGGAAGATGATAGGAAAACGAAGAATATTTTACAATATAACCTCGACCAAACGAAGAGACGAGGTAGACCTAAAAAGAGGTGACTTAATAATGTTGAAGACAAAATAACCAAAATGGGCATTTTAAAATTTACAAGAGAAAAACAACAGATAGAGAAATTTGGAAGAGATATGTCATGGAGGCGAAAACCCATCCAGGCTTGTAACCCAAAAGAAGAAGAAAATAAGTTTATTGTGAAGTCTCAGAACGCAATATGAAGCGTTAATTATGTGACATAATTATTATGCGATGAGAACAATCTTCGTTAAATTCAATATAAGCACAAATATTTTTTGCTTTTATTTAATAATCAAATGAAAATATTTTAACTATAAATTAAAAAACGTAAATATTCTCGAAATATTTCAAAATTTTTTTTTTAAATAAATTACGAAAAAAAATTCATTGAACTCTTGAACTGTTGTAATATAGTACCTACATACATATATGTAGAAGCACGCATTTAAATATGCATACCTATATATAATTACTTACATATACATATTTACAAAATTTTTATAACAAAATTAAATATACAAAAATAACTTTAAAAATAAATAAAATTAAAATTTCAATAAATAGTTTTTAATTAAAAATTAATCTTTTTAATAGAATATTTTTAAAATAAATTCCTTTAAATTGAAATTCTTAAATTTTTATACTTAAAAATGGATGTTATATGGTCCTTTTCATTTTATTTTGATAAGTATGTATTATTATGAATTTATATATGTGTATGTACTTAAAAAATATTATATAAATACATGCCTTTATAGACATTATTATTCTTTGTACTTTTAACACCACACATAAGTATACATTAATATGTACATATTTACAGACACAAACCTAAAATTATTTATAAAACTACATTCAAAAGCATATTTTAATCCTTAGTTTTTTCTTTTGATTTTTCTGATTTTTCTATAGCAATTAGAAAGTATAAGCATCAGCAGCAGTAGCAGTAGCACTTTTAAAGTAAACAAATATGTTAAAATGAGATAAAAGATAATAAGGATATATTTTAAGCAAATAATCAACATATAAACATACAATTTTTTATATATATATATATAGATACCATTTCGTATCCTTAGTGATAGATTTTGCGCAAAATATGATTTACTAATACCTGCAAAAATATATTTTATTTTGTATTTAAAATTATTTCTATAGAATAGTTTCTTTGATCCAATCTGTATAAAATTTTATTTCTTAAAATTTTAAAAAATTTTAAAAATGTTTGTCCTTTTCATTGAATTAATATTTTATTTCAAATTGACAACGAACGACAAAATATGATGTTTATTTGAAGTTTTATAGAAATATGAGTGCGACAGAAACGGCTATAATATCATTTGCTTGTAAAAAGAAATGAGTAAAATATGAATCTGCTTTTTAAAATTTTACCAAATAAAATAAAATTTTCAAAAATCTGATATTTTACTAATATTTTTTCATCTGAGACCGATTTTCCTTCCCAAATTATTAAGTTTTTGCAACACAATGCTCGCACACTTTTTCACAAATTAAAAAATCAGTGAACTGAAGTTTCAAAATTTTAACCAAAAAGGAAGTAGACAGACTATAATATTAATATTTTGAATTTCATGTTTTACCATTATGGATTAAATAATCAAAATAAATACATAAATAATAAATAAATTTCTTATTAAGTCGAACTAGTACATAAAAGCAAGAGTCAGCTTTCAAGATCCAGAGTCAAATTTTAAATAAACTTTATTTTTTGCTGTCAAATTTCACCTCTTTAAATAATTTCTAAATGTAAGTATATGTCAATTTAAAAATATTTAAAAATAATCATAAATTTCATAAAGTTTCCAATATATTTCCATAAACAAATGTAGAAGAAACTAAATTATAAAAAAAAAAAAAAAAAAATTAAAAAAAATTTTTTTTAAGACTAGGGATGCTTAATTTTTTTTATAAAATTTTCACATAAAATTTATTAATTTCCAGCAAAAATCTGAATAAAATTAAAAATTAATAATCCTGTTTTTGTAATCCATAAAAATTTTTAATCCAAATAGCGTTTTTAATCCAAAATAATCCACATACATTTATGGTAAAAAGAATTCGTGACCCACCCATGCAAAAATTAAAATTTTTCATTTTTTTTTTTTTTTTTACTTATCCTTTGCACAATACTAGTTATTCACTAACACATATGCAAATTTTATGTTAGCAATTATTTTTCATTTTTTATTTATTAAATTTTCTCATTTTATTTTTAATTTCTACTTAAATTTCTTAATTTCTACTCATTTAAATCATAATTTTTCTTATATTTCATTTGAAAAATTTTTTAATTTCAATTTAAAAATATTTTTTCCACTCATAAAAAAAAAAAACAAACAAAAAAAATCAGAATACTTTTATTTGTATTGGTAACAATAAAATATCGATTTTGCCCACCAAATAATTTCGTTGTTCAGAATGAATGCCGGAAATTTTAACTCAATTTTTATTTAATATTTGTTTATTAAGAGAAAAAAAAACAAATCAACCAGATATTATTTTTTTGGTTTTTGTAATTTCTTTTTCTTACCGATTTTTATTATAAATTCGAAAAAAAAATTTAATTATATACAATTATCATATAAATTTTAAAATTGTTTAAATTTAATGAAAATGATCAATGAATGGATTTTCAAATGCTTTATATATGCATATATAAATATGCAAATTAATTATACATATATATATATATATGACTAAGCACCAACACGGTTATACCGACGAAAAAATTAACAGACGCAGACACACCGTTAACGACGCCTCAACGATGACTGATTTAATTGTACAAATTGTATACTAGTAAAGCTACTTTCTCTCTTTGTATTTGTATCTATAGATTTTTTGGAAATTTTAATTTTATTTCCAATATATTCCAATATTCCAGTATAAATTCCAATATATTGAAACAAAAAAAAAAAAAATAAGAAATTTTTATGATTCAAATAAAATTTTGTTTTTTTTTTTGTTTAGTTCATTACAAACAGTAGTAAAATAAAGTGTTATAATTGTAATAATTTTATATTTTATGAGCATTAATTATATGGCCAAATTTTATAATTTTATTTTTAAAAAAATTAATAGAAAATAATAAATATTTCACTTATCAACATCATAAAATAGAGCGATAGTATAATATTAGTGAACCAATTTTCCAATATTCCGAATCGGAACAAATTTACCAGACTTTAGCTTCAGACTTAATTTAACTTTAAACGGATCAAGTACAAAGGACGAAATAATTTTTTCTTCACAAAAACTTAATTTTGTACTGTGACCTAAGGATTTTGTTAGAAATTTTTATTAATCATTAGGCAATTTTTCCATATTACTTTTCATTAAAAAATTTTATAAACATCAGAATTGCATTTTATATTTTAATTAAGGAAATCAAAACTCACATTTTATAATTTGCTTAATTTTTCCAAACATTTATTTAAATTTTCTTTTTGCAATTTAAAAACATAAATATTTTTTATGTGTGTGTGTGTTTTTATTTTTCTTTATAATATTGAATTATAATTAAATATTATATTTTGAAAATTTTTAAATTAAGTAAATTTAATTAAATTTTAAAATTTATAATCTATAAAAAAAATAATTAATATAATTATTATTTTTAAAAAGTTTTATTGTTATTAATTAAAATCTAAATAACACAAATTCTATTTTCTGCTTTTAATCTCTTAAATAAATTTTATATTTTTTTATATAATTTTTTTTTCTATTTCTTTTTATCTATTGTAATATTTTCTTTTTTTCTTTTTCATAATTATCCAAATATTTTTAACAATGATATTATCAGAAAAATGTTTTACATAGACTTAAAATACACTTATAACTTACATAATAAAAATTTTTACATAAACTAAATTTTATTAATTAACTATACAAATAAAATTATAAAAATATAAAAATTTACAAATTATAGTGTTTTAATTTGAAAACTTAATTTAAAAAATACTAATTTAAAATGAAAAAAAAAAAACTTATTCAAAAATTATGGCAAAAATAAAATGGTTTCTCTTCAAGATAGTTGAAGTTTTAACATATTTTATACAACTAAACCCCGATAACAAGGTTTGGAAAAAAAAAAAATAAAATTTTTTTAAATTTTTATAATATTACAAAAAATTAAATTTTACAAATATTTCACATTTAATTCACATAAAGAAAACAAATTGCCTCTACAAGTTCAAAAAGACATATTTTTTATTCGCATCTAATATGACATTAGATGCAATTTTATATTTTTAAATATAAAGAATATCTTGTTACATTAGTATTGTAAATTAATTATGGCTTTGATATTTTATGTTGCAAATATTGCAAATTTTTTTTTTTTTAAATGTAGAATGACTTCTTTTTTTTTATATTATTAATAACTTAAATTTAATTCAAGAAATTCATTCACATGAATGAACCTAAAAAAAAAATATTCGATATGGACATTTAATAAATACAATATGTTAATTTACATATTTCAAAATTTCATTAAAGTCTAAAAAACGATTTTAGTAAATTGATAAATGGTATTCGATACACAAAAACTTCCCAATAATATTGAAGATCTAAAGAACAAATTTATTTTTTCAATATACGAAGCGCATTTTTTTTTTAGAAAATAAAAATATATATATACATATATATATATTAATTGAATTAATTTTAAAGTACGCCATTAAATAATTTTAATTTCTCCATTAAATAAAAAAAAAAATTTAATAAATTCGTTTTTAATATTTTAATATTTTTGGACGAAAAATTTTAAAATTCTTATCTACTTAGCAATTTTTCAAAAATTTTGTTTTTTAAATGATACGAGTGCAAAAATGATCTTTATTTCTACTACGTTAGTTGACGATATTCCAAGTTATTTATTTTTAATTTTTTTTTTTTGTCATGTTATTTGAATTAATATTTTAATATCTTTTAAATTTTTCATAAAAATTTATCATGAATATTATATATTTTTTTTTAATTTACTGTAATTGCATTTATCGAAGTAAAATATTATTTGTAACTGCATCACCAGTTAAACTGTTTCATATGAAATTACATAAATAAAAAAAATATGCAGGAAAATTTGTAATTCTACAATATTTATATGTAAAGTTTTCTATTAAACTTATATTAAAATACATATATTTATATACATATTTTTAATATATCCATGATTTTTGTTAAATTTCAAATAAATAAAAAAAATTAAATCTAATAGTAATTTAAGTAACACAAATTTTATACATCAATGGTATCATTTTTATGTTTCCACATTAAAAATTTAAAAAAGTTTTCCAATAAGTTATAAAACTCTAGTATATGTGCTTCTAATTATTTTTTACTGAATAACTTTAATAAAAATTATGAGAAATTTTGCATTATTATTTATAAAATGCTAATATTTTTAACGTCAAGATATTATTGTTACATTACTTTCTACGATTTTTTTTCTCGATTTTATAAGAATTTATTAATCATGAATCATGGACAAATTTTATAGAAATATGTAGTTCCTTAAAATACAAATTCGAGATCAAAAAATTTTAAATCGAAAATATTGCGATTTTACAATAAAATCTGCTTTTAAGTACAATTGAGTATTTTATACCTTACGCTTATTTTAATTCTTGAAATAACTAAATTGGTGTCACATGAAAAAATAAAATAAAATTTTTTTATCTTCTCAATAATTTGTCATTAACTTAAAGAATACACCGTTGTATACTCAATATATAATAAAAATCATATTTAAAAAATCCAGAAAATAAGTACCCAAGTACCCAAAAAAAAAAAAAAAAAACGAATAATTGAAAGAAAATTGTGTGAAGAAAATCGGTCAGACGATTGATTATCATAGATAATAAGTAATTGAATAATTTTTTGAAATGATTTTTTGTTTCATTACATTCATCTTTTTAAGTGAATTATAAAATCATAATGCGACTTTTCTTAAACAAAAAAGATTAATTTTTCCGAGATGGATCTTGAATAATTATTTTATTCTTTTGTCTTGTAACCTTTGTTGATGGCGGGGCAGACAACAATTGTTTTAAATTCTCTTCCGGTATAGGTAAATCATTTCCTTTAGATGATTTTTTATCATTTGCCCCATTACTACCTTGATGGTTTGAATTTCCACCGCCATGGTAACGTGTTAAAACTTGAAATTTTGCAAATAATTTATTTTTACTTTCACGATCTTTTTCTTTTATTTTATCCAAAGGTTTATATTTGGTTAAAGTATCTGGTGGCAAAGGACATAATCCTAAATCTGAGTGCTTGACTTTCAATAATTGTTTGTGTGGTGCAACTACTGCATGTTGTTTATATAAATCGATATCAAAATCAGTAGACTCTAAGCCACTACTATCATACTGAGGACTTGTTGGGGAAGTTAAATGGTTTCCAATGGCAATTTGTTGATGATGATGGTGATATGGCATACGATCATTGTTAAAGCTACTTGAACTTGTGCTTGTTTCCTCAGCTAAATGTCTTAGCATAAGTGTTAACTTTGTTTCATGTTGTCGCTGTAATAAAACAGCATTACGCTCACCCTCCAAGCGTGCTTGACGTACAGCATTACTTAAAACACGTTCACGCCATTCCCATGCATCGCGCTCTCTTTCCAAATTCATTAATTGCACTTCCAATTTTCGACTAGAATCACGTAAATCAATTACTTTCGTAAAATACTTATATAACAGTGTTCGCATCTCTTCTTCAGTTAATTTATTTAAACGTGCCATCAACATTTGTTCACCCTTTTCACGCTGAACGCGGTCGCTAGTATCAATTGATTTTCGGCCACATATTAATTCATTTTTAAATTCGATAGCTGCATCAATAGCCTCTATTGCCTCATCGCATTCTAAAAAAAAAAAACAAACAAAAAACCTTTTGATCAATGTGCTAAACTACTTATTTGGTACAAACCTAAAAGCTTCCGTTCTTCTCGATGTGATAGTATCTTTTCCTTCTTTAATTTGCGGTCCAATGTACACCTTTGTTCTAAAAGGTGATCCCTGGTTCTTCTTAAATTTCGAATCTCGTGTCGTAAGCTTTCCTGTTCTTCGGTATTCTTAAATTGTTCCAAATTTTGAGATTTCTCTTTTAAAACGTGATCTAAATGAGAAATTCTAGCTTGAACTTGCTTCAAATTTTTTCCTTTTTCATCCAGACTAGATGATTTGTTATTTTCTTTTTCTTTGAGAGATTTTAGTTCTGCCTCTAATTGATCCTTAGTCTTTTTTTCTTTTTTCAGATTTTTCTGTAACCCTTCGATGTGTTTTTTGGAATCATGAATAGATTTTTGTAACTTTTTTACTTTTTCACCACTCTCTCCAGCTATGTGTTTGATTGATGCTAAATCTTGAAGACGTTGTTCAATATGAGACGTTAAGGCTTTCAACCGTTCAACTTCGTTTTTATCACGTCCATTTACAACGGCTTTTGATAACTGTTTTTTTGTTTTTTCGTATTCAGCCTCCAATTTTCCTTTCTTCTTATTAAAACGTTGTTTGGCTGTAGTACGAGTATCGTTGTTTTTTATGAGATCGGAAATAAGTTTTTGTTTAAGAGACATTGTTTGTTCAAGTTCTTTGATTTGTCGTTGTTTTGCTTCAATATCAGTTTCGATTTTACGAATTTTCTTTTGTAAATTATCAATCGGACTATTGTGAATACGAATTGGATGATGTTCCGAAGAACTTTCTAGAAAATCTTCAGGAGATTTTGATAAGTTTTCTCCTCGACTAGCTACGCGACTAAGCATTGCTATCTCAGCACTACTAAGAGATGCACCCGGTTGAATAGATCTTCGACGCCCTGCAACATAGAATTTATAAAAAATGTTTAAATTGCATATTCATATAATTTGATAACAAGTATACCTCCCAAACCCGAAGAAGTTTTTCTTTCTTCCGGTCTAAAACTTTCACTACTTTCCATAACTGCTTTTGGTTGGGACTTCATAAAATCGTCATATTTAGTCCGAATTAAATTATCAGTCTTTATCTTCATGTTTTGCATTAACTGTTCGATCTTTTCATCAAAATCAGTTCCTTGAGTTTCACTTTCGTTATCGCTATCATTGTCAGAATTTTGCTGACATGATGTCTCAGGTTCGCTAATCACCTCCTCAGGCTCCTCGGTTTCTTGAATAGGCCCCAAAGGTTTTTGTGGTCGAATTGCTTCATTTGAACTTAAACATTCTTCACATTCCTGCTTTAAGAATAACCACTCCTCAATTTGCTCACGATCAGCGTCAATAACGCTCTTATTTCCAAGTAACCTAAAATGTTAAAGGAAATCAAAATAATTATAATCGATAGCGCACATTAAATATTACTTTGTAAAAAGTCCTTCAGCGTTTGATACCAATTTCAACCACTGTGATGCAGCAAATTGAATACCAAAATTATCAACACTACCACTGACTGGAATATCTTGTTCGCCTGGAATATTTCCGTTAACATCTGGAGATAAAGGTGTATTGTTATCAGAAAAAGTATTCATTATTACAAAATTTCTGACACATTGGGCTTTAAAAGCAAATTGTAAATTGAAAATTGTTTCATTCATGTCCCGTTCTAATGGAGACACACACAAAATTAGCAAAGTTTGGGCCCTACCACCAAATGAATCTTTTAATAATGTCGTCAAAGTTGTTTGATTATAATCAATCATATTATTATTATAAATTAACGATGGATCTGTTAATGATGTTACAATCCTTTCCAAGCACTGTAATCCTAAATCTTTTGGTATACTAGAATGTTGGTCCATACTATTCATCATATACATTCTTTCAGTACCGCACAAGTCACTAAAACTTGCAGTTGACAATCTATGTTGAATGAGTCCTTCTTGTGAGACCCAATGCTGCTCCAGGGTAAGGGTAAACAAATTATGAGCTCCATCATCTGTTTTATTTGATAGGCCAATTTGTAGCCAATGGAATACATCAGTAACAGATTGACACACGACGCTTCCAACTTCTAAGAGATCTCTAACATGTTCTCCTCTGATTTCAACCCAACCTATATTAATAATAAAGCTACGTTCTCTATGCGTTGTTGCCAGCTGGGAAAAAATTTCTCTAACACATCTCTGTATAATACCTTGTTCTGCTTCACTATAAATACAATCAAAACCTGGTCCAAGAAGCGTATAAGTTTTTCCTGTCCCTTTTTGCCCGTAAGTTACAACAGATGCATCAAAACCTTCTAGCAGTAGGCTAATCAACGGATAAACAGTTTGGTGATAAATTTGGGTCTGCTGAACTTTTGGTGGAAGATAGTGAGTAACTGGAAACGTCGAATGGGATCCAACTTGAATTATACCAGTTGCGATATTATTCATAATACCATTAATTGGGGAAAAATTTGGGCTCATTGGTATCGATTGAACGCATGGTGAATCCTCCATACAAGGCAAAATGCGAACAGCCACTTGAATAGGAATTTCCATTTTTGCTATGGCACACAAATTTCACCCAAGCCACTTATCAAAATCATTAAAATTTTAATTTTAAAGAAATAAAATTTTTTTTTAATTTCATTTATGTTAAAAAAATAGCAAAATAATTTTTGTAGCAATTATTAATTTTCCATATTATAATTTTAATATCACTTCACACGATTTCCTCAATTTATTTGCGGAAAATTTCTTTAAAAATTTCTATTCTAATTTCTGACTGATTGTTTTGGGTTTTAATTTTGGCATTTGATATTGACATATTTGTCATCAAAATAGTAGCTAGAAGAGTTGAAAAATTAATGTCATTCTAGAATATAATTCACAATATTTCGTGAATAACATTCGTAAATTATAATTATGGTATATATAAAAGGTTAATAAAATTAAGAAAAATCTGTTAACGTGACGTGGAATATCGATATTCTGATATCTATATAATATGTAAATTAATTATTTTTAAAAATTCTCTCAAAATATTATTCAACTAATAATTCAGCTATAAAGGACAAAGTATAACAAAACCAAACAATTTATGTTACCGATCATTATTTCCGAGACTTTTAATTTTTAAGCCTTAAAATTTCTTATTTCTACAAAAACAATTCAGTATTGAATGAAAAGGGTAATAAAATAAAGATGCAATTAAATAAGTAGCATATAAGAACAAAATATTAAAATTTCGTTTTCATTAAAAACTCAAACCTTGTGCATATATTTCTCAAAAGATGGCAGAATAAACTTGTCAGCTTGTAATTGTCAAAAAAGTAAATTGTCATATTTTTTCGCAAAAATTTTCCTGTTCTTCCTTTAGCTGGCGTCATTTCATTAATTTCAAAGCTAAGAATTTGTGAAAATCTAGCTTAAGCGTTTTTATGGTGTTTTTTTAGTTTATTTAATTTTAATTTTAAAAAAGTTTTATTGTATATTATGTCAAAAAGGCGTATTGAAGTTGGTGAAACTGTTCCAAAAAAGAAAAAGTAAGTAACAATGATGTGGCTTTCCATGTTTGGAAAAAATTTGAACGTAGAAAATATCACAAAAAAGCACATTTTTTTTTTATTGAACCTGAATTCAACTATCACATTTTAACAAAAGTGAAATTGTTCCTGTTAGTTTTGAATACATTCTTCTAGTTATCTACATATATAAAATTAATTTCAGTAACAAAATTTTTACGGGCTGACCTTGAATTTTTTTTTATTTTCGTATACTATTATGGCCGATTGATCAAAAATCCATAAATATGTACGTTTTCTGAAAACGTTTATACTAGATACTTTGCCAATATTATCGATTTTTTAATCGTTATAGATAATCAACTAACCTTTCCAAATTTAGTTACTGCTGCATTAATATTAAGTCAAAATTAACAATATATATTTATTAATTATTAATATTTTAGGGAAGAATTGAATCAAGGAGCATCAATTGCAGCGGCACTAACAGCTTCATATGTTACTAACGCAAATATGGCGGCCCAAAAATCTAAATCAATTAATCCATTTACTAAGCAACCATATAGCCAGAGATACTACAATTTATTCAAGAAAAGGATCACATTGCCAGTATTTGAGTATCAAGCAGATTTTATGAGATTATTAAATGAACATAAATGTATAGTATTAGTTGGTGAAACTGGTTCCGGAAAAACTACACAAATTCCACAATGGTGCGTTGAATATGCTTTAACCAAAGGTAAAAGGGGAGTGGCATGTACTCAACCAAGACGAGTAGCTGCAATGTCTGTTGCACAAAGAGTTTCTGAAGAAATGGACGTTATTTTGGGGCAAGAAGTTGGTTATAGCATTCGTTTTGAAGATTGTACATCTGCAAAATCGATATTGAAGTATATGACGGACGGTATGTTATTGCGCGAAGGTATGTCGGATCCAATGTTAGAGGCATATCAAGTAATATTATTAGATGAAGCTCACGAACGTACTTTAGCAACTGATTTATTAATGGGTGTTCTAAAAGAAGTAATCAAACAAAGAAATGATTTAAAACTTGTGGTCATGTCAGCTACTTTGGATGCTGGTAAATTTCAACAATATTTTGATAACGCGCCTCTCATGAATGTGCCAGGGCGAACACATCCTGTTGAAATATTTTACACGCCCGAACCAGAAAGGGATTATTTGGAAGCAGCAATACGAACGGTTATTCAAATTCATATGTGTGAGGAAATTGAAGGTGATATCTTAATGTTCCTAACTGGACAAGAAGAAATTGAAGAAGCTTGCAAAAGAATTAAACGTGAAGCTGATAATTTAGGTCCTGAAATTGGTGAATTAAAATGTATTCCATTATATTCAACTTTGCCTCCAAATTTACAACAAAGAATTTTCGAACCTCCACCACCTAATAAACCAAATGGAGCGATTGGTAGAAAAGTTGTTGTTTCAACCAATATAGCAGAAACGTCTTTAACTATTGACGGTGTTGTGTTTGTAATTGATCCCGGTTTTGCAAAGCAAAAGGTTTACAATCCTAGAATTCGAGTTGAAAGTTTACTTGTTTCTCCTATAAGTAAAGCATCTGCACAACAAAGGGCTGGTCGTGCTGGACGTACAAAACCAGGAAAGTGTTTTCGCTTATACACAGAAAAGGCGTACAAACACGAAATGCAAGACAATACTTATCCAGAAATTTTAAGATCAAATTTAGGTAAAATTCAGAAATAATAAAGTAAACAAAAATTAGTAATTTTTTTTTTTTTTAAGGAACTGTGGTTTTACAATTAAAGAAACTTGGAATTGATGATTTAGTGCATTTTGATTTCATGGATCCTCCAGCTCCGGAGACACTAATGAGAGCTTTGGAATTGTTGAATTACCTTGCTGCTTTGGATGATGATGGAAATTTAACCGATTTAGGAGCTGTGATGTCAGAATTTCCACTAGATCCTCAACTTGCTAAAATGTTGATTGCCAGCTGCCAACACAACTGCTCAAATGAAATTCTCTCAATTACTGCAATGTTATCGGGTGAGATTTTAAGATTTTGGTTGTATTTAAGAAATAATCCAATTAAGAATGTTAGGGACTACTTATACCCCCTCTTATATTTATTAGTTATTCAGTCTTTTTCTAGACTAACACAATCCCTCATATCAGATTCATTTTCCATATTTTGTAACATTTTATATTGCTAATGCATAGTATTTAAAAATGTTGCAAAATTAAAAAAACCGACTTACCTTTAGGATAAATGTTTCATGTGCGACCCGAATTAATGAAAACAGTGTGCATTTTATATAGGTTTGGTTATTTTTGTAGAAATTTTTAATAGATTTTAATTACTGGATAAAAATTTTTGGTTTGAAGTATTGAAAATTTGTTACATACTGTTTCCATTAATTCTCAAAAAATTAGCTTTTTAATTCTAACTTTTTTGGTAATAAATTATTTAGGAAATAATATTTTAAAACGACAAAAATTTGAATAACGAATTTATATTAAAAATTTTCGAGTTAACCTTAAATAACATTGTTTAGCAGTTTTAAAGAATTTTTTTATAGTTATCGACTTGTATCTATACTAGGCGGTAGTTTTACATTATAATAAATAAGATAAGTGCAAATGAAGTAAGAAATGATAGGAATATAATATCGCACATGAAACTGAACAAAAATAATAGCCCTTAGGTGTATAATCACTTAACAAAATGACAAATCAACTATATATGCGGGACGTGCGTCGCCCCAAAAATATATTTAGTCTCACAGTGCTTTGTACGACCAAATGAAGCTAAGAAGGCGGCAGATGAGGCAAAGATGCGATTTGCACATATTGATGGTGATCATTTAACATTATTGAATGTATATCATGCTTTTAAACAGAGTAAGTATCTTAGTCCTTTTTATTTTACATATTACATATTAGATTTTGCATATTATATCTAATATTTTATTATATTTATTTAAGGTAATGAGGATCCCAATTGGTGCTATGAAAATTTCATCAATTATCGTTCTTTAAAATCAGCCGATAACGTAAGAACACAACTGTCCCGTATCATGGAGCGTTTCAATTTGAAACGGACAAGTACAGATTTCAAATCGAAGGATTATTATATTAATATACGTAAAGCATTGGTACAAGGATTTTTCATGCAAGTTGCTCATTTAGAACGGACTGGGCATTATTTAACAATAAAGGATAATCAAAATGTTCAATTACATCCGTCAACTTGCTTAGATCATAAGCCCGAATGGGTTATGTATAATGAATTTGTATTAACCACAAAGAATTATATCAGAACTGTAACTGATGTTAAAGGTAATTCATACTATCCAATTTTATTGAGAACTAATGAAATCTCGATTTACTAAAACTTGTATTTTTAGCTGAATGGTTATTAAAAATAGCGCCACAATATTATGATATGAATAACTTCCCACAATGTGAAGCTAAACGTCAATTGGAAATGTTTCAAGCTCGGCTAGAATCGAAACAGTATCAGCAAGGGTTTTAAGACTTGAAATTAATTTACATTTAGTATTTTGAAATTTATTATTAATCACTTGAAATAGTTTTCACTCAGAATAATGAAAACTAAAATAGCATATAAAAATATGTATTTGAAGTAATATTACAAGGTAATCCTTAATAATAACAAAGAAGATTTTAATTTTATTATAAGTACATAATTCCTTTTTTTTATATAATTTCTTAAGCAAAAAACGTATATTTTATGTGTAAGTAATATGTTTGAAAAGTCATAAACCTTTTTATTTAAAAATTTAAAATCTTCCTTATGAAACATGTAGATCATTTTGTTTGAAAATTCAATCCAAAGTCAATGATGTAAACTGAGAAAATATTTGAGCAAAATTTAATTTTTAATGTTCTAGTTATCATACTTTACGATTTTGGGATTAATTTTGACTCAAAATTTATTTTCCTTAGAAGTTCGAAATAACGTATCTATAGAAAAAGTAGTTTTTTTCACAATTTTATATTAGAAGCACTTTACTTTAGTTTTTAATTTTTTTAATTTGTTCTTATTTTTGGGAAAATAAATGAATTCAAATTTGAAGAGTTTTTATTAATTAGGTAATTATGTATGTATTTTAAAAATTGTTATTTATCATTCAAAGAAAAGCAACACTAACTTACATTCCACCGTTTCTACTCTTGAAATTATTTAGTTATTAAAAGGAAAATGTACACTTCCTTTTCAAAATTCTTAAATGAAATGAAACGATTCGAAATGGTATTGAAACTTGAAATTCTTTTATTTGTTTAAAATAAACAATATATTCGGTTTCTAATAATTTACAATGAATATTTTATATAAACACAGTGAAAGTTATCGTAACTTTAGGGCTTAAGTTCTAATTAGATGTAATATAACACATGTCATTTGAAATTTAATTTATCATGATTAGGCGTCTGATAAGGCAGCTACACCAGGTAAAACTTTACCTTCTAACAACTCCAATGATGCGCCACCACCAGTTGAAACATGAGAAACAGCAGATTCAGTATTCCATTTGGCGCAACATGATGCGGTATCACCACCACCAATAATTGATACACAACCACCTTTTGTAGCTTCTACAACAGCATCCATAATAGCTTTTGTACCGTTTGCAAAATTGGGGAATTCAAATACACCAGGTGGTCCATTCCAGACAATAATTTTGGCACGCTTGATAGGCTCTGCGAAGGCAGCACGAGTTTTAGGTCCGACATCTAAACCCATATGACCATCTGGAATACCAGATTCAACGGTAGCCTCTGAAACTGCAGCATCTTCAGCAAATTTATCGCCACAAACAAAATCAACTGGCAAGTGAAGCTGAACATTATTTTTCTTTGCTTTGTCAACTAAATTTTGAACAATTTTTGAACCCTCTTCATCGAATAGCGATGAACCAATTTTCATGTTATTCAAAACTTTTAAGAAGGTAAATGCCATACCGCCACCAATTATCATTTCATGTACTTTATCTAACATATTTTCTATTAGTTGAATTTTATCAGCAACTTTTGCCCCACCCAAAATAGCTAAAAATGGTTTTGGTGGATTATCTAAAGCTTGTGAAAAATATTTCAATTCCTTATTCAATAAAAGACCAGCAGCGCGTTGGCTATATCCCTCACCCATCATGGAGCTGTGAGCTCGATGAGCTGTACCAAATGCGTCATTTACATAAAGATCACCCAATTTTGCCAAACTGGCACGGAAATCTTTTACTTTGGCTGGGTCAGCTTTTATTTTATTGCCACTGGCATCTACACCTTTACCTTCTTCTTCAACATAAAAACGTACGTTTTCTAAAAGAATTACTGATCCTGGTGCTGGGTCTTTGCATTTTTCTTCAACTTCGGCACCAACACAGTCATTTAAGAAAATAATATCCTTTCCTAAAAGTTTTTTCAACTCTTCTGCTACAGGAGCTAAGGTGTATTTTGCATTTTTGTTTCCATCAGGTCGTCCTAAATGTGACATAAGGACTACAGATTTTGCTCCCTTATCCAGTGCAAATTTCACACTGTCTAATGCAGCAACAATTCTTTCTAAAATTATAATCAAAGGTCATGGAAAAAATTTGTTCTTATTACAAAATTTCTGTTACATGATAAGATTAAACTTACGATTGCTAGCAACTTTTCCATCCTTGATTGGAACATTAAAATCAACCCGCATAAGAACGCGTTTGCCATTTATTTCCAATTTTTCAATACTAAGTTTATTTAATGCCATTTTGATTAAATTTTTATTTAATTTAATATTTTGGAAAAATTGACAGACAGAAACAAAATTTATTGCACCCAAAACTTTGCTTTGCTGGTTTCTCACAGAAGATATAACCTTCAACTGACCTTATTTAAATTGACAGATTGGAAAATGATTGAAAAAACATTTTATGCAAGTTGCAAGCTGTTCAACGAATTTTTTCTCGCATGTCAAAACGCACAAAATGTCATAGCGCTATTAAACAATTCACAATAGAATAAAATTGAACATGCGAATACTGGTGGTACTTTTTCACAAATTACTCTTATAACGTTACTCTTAAAACGCGTAGATCCGGAATGCGATTTGCTTTCAATCATAAAGTTCCTTTCATTTAATTATATTATTAATATAATATAATATTAATATAAATAGTAATATTATGCAGGGTGGTCAAAACTTTTCAAAAATTATAGCATCAAAACATATATTGTTTTAAAAAAAAAGTTTGAAAAAATAAAAGATATAGAAAAGATTTTTTGACAACGTCAAAGTATATGGTAAAACAAATAGACTTGTCGAAATAATAAATAACAATTCTTGATTAAAACAAACGTGTTCACGTGAGAAAGCTTACTTTTTTTACTAAGATCATTTATTTATAAAGTATTTATCTTAATGAATTGAAAATTTTTATAACAAAATTGTTTTGTATGTTAAACATCTTTATGGTGTTATATTCGTACAAAATAAAAGTAATATAAAACAATCTCATATTAAAAAAGGTAAAAAATCAGATCTTATTTTAAAAAAAGTTGAAAAAATTTATTGATCGACTATTTGAATACAATTTTAAGACGTTAAAGCGTTCGTTAAATATGTGCCATTGTCATTCAGTTTGCTTTTTGCAACAGTTGTTTTTATTTTTACAATTAATAATTTTGCTGTCAAAAATTTATGAGTTTTCCGGCTAATGTGTCACATATTTATCGGAGATTCTTCCAATTACCTGTGTTTAGTGGAATAAAAAACGGGACCAGATTTGTTAAACGCACAATGAGCGATTCCAAAGGCTTAACAGATGAAGAAGCCAAGGCATTATGCAAGAAGGCTGACCCTTCAACAAAGGTAAATAAAGAACTAGCATGTAAATGCAAAATACCTATTGCTTTGCAAGTAGTTAAATTGGTTATGACTTATTAGATTATTCTAAACAAAATAGTACAGCACCAGTACATAGTACAAAAATATCCATATTGAAACAAATCATACAGGTACTAATGTGATAAAGCTAAAAACATAGAGCATTCAGGTTTAAAAAAAAACACGTAAACAATATGAGCAAATATTTTAGGTACCTATACCTATATTTTTAGTTCTAAATCAAAACTGCGTATTTAATACTTCATATAATTTATATTCATACATACATATTAAAGGTCCATTTTTATTGCAGGAATTTTTATTTCAACAAACCATGTTTCGTATAAAAGATCCACATAAATCCATACCATTTTATACTGGAATTTTGGGAATGACATTATTGCAAAAATTAGACTTTCCAGAAGCTAAATTTTCTCTATATTTTATGGGGTTCGAAAAAGAGGATGAAGTGCCTACAGAGAAAAAGGAACGAACTAAATGGGCTTTAAGTAGAAAAGCAACACTTGAATTAACTCAGTAAGAATTTTAAATTTACATTTTATTAGTTTTTTTATTGAGAAAGACTATTTTTCAAGTAATTGGGGAACTGAAAATGACCCTAATCAAGCTTATCATAATGGAAATTCGGATCCAAGAGGATTTGGACATATAGGATTGGAAGTTCCAGATGTATATGCTGCTTGTAAAAAATTTGAAGAGTTAGGTGTTGAATTTGTTAAAAAACCTGATGATGGTAAAATGAGAGGATTAGCTTTTATTAAGGATCCTGATGGTTATTGGATTGAAATTTTCAATTCAAATACAGTTGCTAATTACTAATTAATTGTGCCTTAATACAGATATGCATTAATACAATGAGACTTCTTATAAGAAAAAGCAATCACTATAAAGATTTTTTAAAATATTTAAAATATTTTTCAATAATTTGTTTTATGTTTAATTTAAAGGCTGTAAAGCAATAAATCAGAAAATATTATTATAATTATAATAGTTTTAATTTTTGTTTAAAAACAAAATAAGAAAAATTTTTAGATTATAATTCTAAAATTAAATTTATCTCTAAAATTTATTTAATATTTAAATATTGAAAAGATATGAAAACCTCAAATGCTATTAATCGTTACATGATATTTGTACCACATATTTAATTATAACTTACTACATAGATTTTCAAGAAATTTTGTTACAAGCCATAATTTTGAGTACCTAGAATTGATTTTTATTAAAAAAATCACAATTACAATTGAATCTATCTATGCACATACTTATAAATACACCGAAAAGGTGCACAACTTACACTTGCATTTATGAGAAATACTTGAATATAAGCTAAGTTTTTTTTTTTGTTATTACTATAAAAACTTCTATGTACTTATGTATATTACAGTTTTTTTTATATAGACCGGGACTGTGCCACTAATTAAGAATACAAGAGGATATAACTTGTACTCTTAGTCAACGGTATCTGAATAAATACAAACTACATACATTGCATCTGCATATAAACAAAGTACATTGAATATTTCAGCTGTATAACTTGGTTAAAAGTTTACAATAGAACAGAGCTAAAGTTTTACATTTGCTGGACTTGTATATATAATACTACAGATTTAGATATATACTACAGTAATTCTTACAAAAAGTATTTATGTAACTTAAATTAACAACGAAATAATGTACATTATATAAACATGTGAATCTGTCATACATATTTTATTATTTTATTTTTTGTTACTTAAATTAATCAAAAATTAAGATATTTACACATATTATTTATGTATATATATATATATATATACATATAACACATTGAAAATCTATGACACTTGTTTTCTTCAATTCTTATGTTTTCTCAAATAACATTCTCAACTCTTGCTTGTATCACATATCTAACCTCTGTAAATATTATTGTAAATATTAATGTACTTATTGTACTTTATTAAAATTCTAATATAAAGTTTCATATTTTACAAGGACATACTGTGTTATCACCTAACACCCATCAATATTATTATAATTTAATTTAGTACAAAAACATACCTGTGTATCATACATGCATCTTGTATAGTATGTGCATTATCATTATAAACGGAATGCGAATGACCGTAAAAAAAATTTAAATTTTTTGTTCTTCTTTTATAATAAATATTTCATGTTAAGTAGGAAATAAATATGACCAAAAAAAAAAAAGGAGAGAGAAAAAAAAAAGATTAAAAAATAAATTGAAAACACAAGTTTTATTTAAAGAATCCAATTTGATCTGACTGTGCAATCATTCTTGTTTTGTAAAAACAAAAAATCAAAAAAAAAAAAAAAGAAAGAAAAATACCAAATAAATTTTTATTTTTTTCATATACGAGATGTCCTGGACCCTGATGCACAAAATTAACTTTAAGAATTTTTTTTTATTTTTCAATTTTTTTTTTTTTTTTTTTGTTATCATTTATTTTATGAATATATTTTAAATTCAATTTTTTAATTTTTACCGCCTACAAAGTATTGAAATTAGTCGTTTTGGTTCATTTCATATCATTTTCATTTTCATTTTTTTTTTTATCCAATATTTTATTTTCTCCTTATTGTTTTTCAAGTGTAAAAATATTATATAGCAATGTAAATCACTACCCACTTTTATAAGGAATAACAAGTAAAGCAAAAAATTATCATAAGCCTTTTAAAGTAATACACAAGAATCTCGAATAAAATAGAACATATACACACATACACATTACATACATACATCCAATATACTTTCAAATATACTTAAATATAAAGTTCATTATATAAAATATTACTCAGGGTAGATTTACTTGTTTTAATAACGCTTATAAATTTTCTATGGGGATTAAAGTAAAAAAAAAAAATTATAAGAAAAATTTAAACGAAATGAAATGGAACGAAATGCAAAAAAAAAAAACAAAAAGGATTAAAAACAAGTTAACTGACAATGGTATTAATTGAGGCGAACGTATACAAAAGAAGCAAAAAAAAAAAGCAAGTAAAAACCTTAACTTTTTTCCAATTTTTTGTCGATGTTTTCTGATTAATTTTTTTTTTCCAGTATATTTTTGTGAATTGCCAAATTACTGAAAATCGTTAAAGTCAATCTGGATACATATAAATATGTACATACATATATATTTTTGTATGTATATAATATATAAAAATGCATAAATTCAACTCATATACTGCTAATGTTAAAGTGAATTTTTTTTTTTGCAAAAGATAAAGTAAAAAAAAAAAAAAAAGAAACCTATTCGATTTTTCTTTTATTCCAAAATGTTTACAATTTTGATTTTTTGTGGCATATTTTCTACATACATATACACTCTACCCATATCCAAAATTATTAAAGAAATCTTTTAAATTCCATTATATAATACTGAGAGCGTTTATAATATAAAAAAAAAATAAATAAGAACGTCTAATTATAAAAGTTTGACATATTAAGTTTGACATTTCTTCATAATATTTCTGTTGACATTCTATTTCAATAATTTTAAACGGTTCATTTTTTTATTTACTCATACTCTTTATAAAATGTACTTTATCGGTATTATTCCGAATACTATTTTAAATGTCACATTTCTAAATGAAACTGTTAATTATTAAAGTGATTGAATTTTTTAGTAATTGAAATTTAATAAAATAATAAACGAATCGTTTAAATCTTAATAAGTACCATATATAAAAACTGGTTAGATTATTGTTTCCAATATGTTATAAATTAAATAAAAATATTACAGTAATATCATTTCGCATATCACATGCGAACATTTTGTGTTAAGGCATTAACTACAATTTAAGTGTCATACATCAATTATTAAATGTGTCAATTCAAATCGATTTTTGTTAAAATAAAAATTACAAACAAGTTTATATGTAAAAAATTACAAACTGTTTGATTTGTATGTGATCATACAGTTGCAATGTTTACGTGCTTAAATATAAAACGTAAATGGCGTCTACAGGCGTAGTAAACTTTGTTTTGAACATTATATAGAATTGAAGTAAGCAAATCAAAGGTAATAAAAACTAAAACACTTTATTCATGTCTTGCTAGCGGCTCTTAAGATTATTTTTGTTAAAATTTAAAATTAATGTATGTATGTTATACAATATTTATGTAAATTTAATTAAATTTGATAATAATATGAAAATAAAGCTCTTTTGATTTAAATTTTTTAAATAAAATAAAAAAAAAAAATAATAATAATAATAATTATGTACATTAATACACTAAAGTCTAACTTAACAGTGGTAGTATCTTAAATCTAATACCGACTATATTTAACACAATAATAGTTTAGTATATTTTGCTATTTCTAAAGAAAATTTTTATTCTAATTTAATCAATATTTTGATGTGTCAAGTTAACTGACAATTATAACACTAAGTCGTCGAGATACGACATCTTCTAATACGACATTTCGAATTACGACATTATATAAATTTGGATAATTTTCATATGGTTTGCGACTTGCGAATTTTGTTATAAGAAAATTTCTGGTAAAGTGATATATAAAAATACGAATTAAAGTGATATATATCAACAATATTGAATTTTATTATTATATTTTGTTGCTTTTTTTTTTTTTTTAATTTTTTTCCCTTTTTTTTTAAAAAATAGGTCTATTATATTATAAAATAGTTTGTCTAATTCACTTTTTGTTGCCATAAATTTTTTTTGTTTCCTACCTCATACGACATAGTTCGAGTTACAACATAAATTTCTGAAACAAAAAATGTCGTATCTCGTGAACTTAGTGATGTACACGTAGCTGATCCAAATATTCTCTTTTTATCAATATATTTTTGTTAGTGTTTTTTTGTAAAGAATGATGAGAATCATACACGCATTTATGATTTTATGAATACAAAATTTGCTACTTGTATATTTTCGATATATACGAAATTCGAAACAAAAATCTTACGTCACTTTATAAGTAAGCTCAAAATTTATTAAACCTTAGAGTAAACAGAAATAAATTCAATTCTCATTTATAATTTTTTTTTTTTATATTTTTGTTTTCTTAATTCTTGTTCCTATATTTTGTATTTTTGCTACTTCAGTTCCAATAAACAAGAAAAAAAAAAAATATACGCCACATATATTTCCTTTTTATTCAGTTTCATTTTTATTTTTTCATATTCTTGTTATTTTTTCTTTTTTGCCTTTTCTACAGATTTTTTTTTTTGTATATTTCTTTAGTTCAATTTTCTGTTATTATGCCAAACATACTTATATTTGGGTCTAGATGTCTAGATACCAAATTCTAAGTAGTCCCCATATATAAAGGTTTTATACATATACATATATACATATCTACATTTTAGTTTACATATAAAAAAAATATCTTCAGATAATTTTATGTATAAAAATTCTTTTCTCCGGAAAAGTAAAGAAAAAAAAAAAAATAAAAATTTTTTTTTTTTTCTTTTTTCAAACAAAATAAAAACTACGCCTGTAGACGCCTTTTACGTTTTGAAAGCAAAAAAACAGAAAAAAATATAAAATTATACTTTTTAAGCATTAACATATATATATTTACCTACATATATACATATATACAACATAATATCCATAATAACAGAATAAGAAGAAAAACAAAAGAGAAAAACAAAAATCTTTTAGCAGGCAAAAACTCATTTTGATATTATTTTGCTTTGCTTGAACGACGAAACAACATATTGCTAACCAAACAGAGAAAATCTTATATTCAATATAAGTGTAAAAGAGATAGTTTATTAAAATTGAATATGTATAAAAGAGAAATATCATATTTAATCCACGTGGAGTATTTGAATGGCGATGAAAATAATTTTATCATGTACGTGTTTGTATTGAATGTTTACCTTTTTTTTATTAACAATAACTATGACTATAGCTACATTATTTTGTATAACTATGAGTTTAACTATAAAGGATGTTTATATACCTATAGTTACATATATATATATATATATATATATACAGAAATG